TCGGTCCCCGCAAATAGCTCCGTAAGGCGTTCCTCGTGGTTACCAACTATAAATATTGATGATCTATTGTCAGCTGTGCGTTCGCATCCGATTCGATCCGATCTGATCGACTGTTTTCTCCTGTGATAGAGGTCCGGTGTTTTCCTTTCTTTGCTCGCGGAACGTTGAGAGGCTCGTAAGGAATACGGGAATTCCGAATGGTGGAGATCAGTGTTGTTATAGAGATGTTGATGTGATGTTGATGTGATTTTTGGGTGATTGGAATGATCGGTAGCGGGAATTTAGGGTTTTTGCGTCTTTGGTGCAATGGATTTGTGAGAGTAGAAGTTACTAGTAGATTAATCGTAGGTTAATGATAGGTTTATGTATCAATAGTATTAGATTAATGATATTAGATTGATGATAGATTTATAGATCAATAATATTAGATTAATGATATTAGATTAATAATAGATTTATATATCAGTAATATTAGACAAATAATATTAACTTAATAACAGATTCATAGCTTGATAAAATTAGATTAATGATATTAGATTAATAATAGATTTATATATGAATAATATTAGATTAATGATAGCAGATAAATAATAGATTTATAGATCAGTAATACTAGACGAATAATACGAACTTAATAACATATTCACAGCTCTTAGATTACTAATATTCCATTAATACTATAAGCACAGATCAATAACAGCTCAATAATACATTCATAAATTAATCCATCGATAACAAACATCAACCAATAGAATTCACTATCAAAAATCTCTTCCCACCCCTCAACTCTAAACAACCCCAGCAAAGCTTCCTCCCAATGAAGAAAACACCCGGTAGGTCCGCAACAATTCGCCCGTGACACAGGCGACGCATCAATCTTCCAAAGCAGAGATAAATCCCGAAGGACAGCTGGGTCTCATCTTCCCGCGCGTTTCCACTCGGTGGTCGAGGCGATCAGGTTATACACGGTTGTAACCGATTTCGCGAGTACCTATACAAGGGACGCTTGTAAAAATACGAGCGGACGGCCGCCGAGTAACGAGAGGAAGTACTTAGCCGTGCGGTGTTGATTTAATCGTCGTCTTCATTTTTCCCCCCTCCTCGTTCCTCGCGAAAAATAATCATACCGCTCGTAAGCTCTCGCGGGAGGGCCATATATCCTCCCGACGACACGTGTAACTCGCATTGTAAACAGAGAACGCGTCCCGAGATAATAAACTCGCGGTATCAGGTTCATGAAAACACGGCTCGCAGTTTCGCCGAATGATCCGTGCCGTTGGACGCGCGCGTTCCGCGTTCACGAGCGGCACGAATTATTTAGGTGCGTCCAGCGAGGGTCGCTTAAACGATCCTTTCTGCCGGTTACGCGTACAATGCGAGGACCCCCGTACACGCTGAAATATGCGATGGAGTCAACGGGCTGCGTTACTGGTGGGTTCGAGTTTTTCATAGCTTCATGATTGGTAGTGCGAGCAAACGGAGAGCGAGAAAGGCTCGAACCCATCGCTTGTTGCGATGCATCACCGCGTGTTCCAGCGTGTACGGGGACCTTAAGCCTTTGCACTCGAGAGGCGACTCTCGGTCGCCACTTGATTGAACGCGGCGGAATTATGGAACGTCCGATAGTGTTGAAGGTATTAACGCGTGAAAGAAATAAAACAATTCTGTTCCATAATAAGTTGTGAATGATATTGTTAATATTTCAGAAACTAATGAATGTCTAATGAAAAGTATTCAGTGCAGAGGGGTCGCTCAACTGATGGGTTTGAGCCTTCCAAAGTTTCACGACACGTTGCGAACTAGTTCTAATTGAATTTAATATTTCTGAAATATTATTATTATTATTATTAATAATAATATATTAATATTTCTGAAATATTATTATTATTATATTAATATTTCTAATATTAATATATTATTGGTAATTATCAAAGTTATATAGCTAAGAGTCTTTATATAAAAACGAGATTCCTCGTTACCAGTACGCAATGTATTAACACATTGAACGCTGGCTAAATTTCAGCTACTAAAAACGCGAGCGTCGATTATATCGATACGTTTGTAAACATCGATTAAACCAAAATTTCTAACTTACGGAAGAGAATAAGGAATTCGATTTTGTAAATTTTACATGAAGGATTAGCAATTAAACGATAGACTAATAATTCTGCATTATTAAATTGAATATTTAGTATTTTAAGTTAAAGTTTGCGTTGCTACGTGAAACATTGAAAATAGCTTTGTTCCTTAATTTATCTGTGAATTACCGTTAAATTAGTTTCAAACGATGTCGTCTGTCTCATCGGAAAACGTTGAATATGTCCAGTGGAAATCTTTCGAGTGCAAAGGGTTGAGAGACAGTAGCAACAAGAATGATCCGCTCTTCGCAGGAATGATCGCTGCCAGTGTCCTCGCGCGTTGTTCCCGCGTAAGCGGCAGGAATCATTCGTGCCGCGCGAGGCGAGTTCGCCGGCGATAATTCTTGTCCAAACAAATCCGACGATCCTTTCAAGATACCGTGTGTAACGGTGTTCCGAAAACGTGTCTGTTTGTTTCGGCGAGCCTTGTGAAACGACCCTCCAGGGCCTGGAGGGGGTGGCCGGCCCGTGGCACGCGCACGGCGCCGTGAAGAGGCCCACCTGTCGACGAAACGTAGCGACACCCGCGTGAATTGGGGCCGAGCTAATCGAATTTTTCACGGGTGCTCGGGTCACGCCGCTGTATTGTGTGCTCCGGTTTCCTTCGAGGTGTACGTGGAACGTACCAGGTGACGTGGATAAATCGAAATCGCAAAGTGGTGCAATTAACCTATTCCTACCAGAATGACTGGTCTTTAGCACAACATATTTTTTAATGTAGAATGAAGATAATAGCTAATTTGACAGGGTACAAATATAGTTTCTTTTATTTGGAGGTATGTAATTTACAGTTTATTCGTTTCCACCGCATTTTTTACAGATATGTTTGTCGATTGTACATTTCCCTTAACCCTAGTACTTTAACCCTAGTACCTTAACCCTTTCGAGAGGTGACTCTCACTCAGCAGTTGATTTCATACAGTAAAACTATAAAATTTGATACTTAATATTGAACTTCGTATAATGCATCAATTTGAGAAATATCCAAACAGAATAGCTTCGTCCTTCGATATAAGTATGTTTTTCGTCGAGTTAGTTTCGCAAAATATCCTCTCTATCTTATCGGAGAATCTTAAAATATTTCCAGTGAAAAACTTCCGAGTGCAAAGGGTTAATACGCGAATCGTTTAGAATTGGAGATTATTGTAATAAGATTGTTTAATTCATTGAATGAGAAGTTAATAGTATAGAAAAAGAGATTTGTAACGGGGAAATATTTTTTAGAAAAGTATTGTAAACAGCACTATTTTGGATATTTTATATATTTTCGTATCGCATTTTATGGAATTTTGCACTTTCTTGTAAGTGCATAAAGTAGCCTAATTAGTAAATGAATGTTCTAACGATGTTGAATTATTGCAAATGATAATGAAGATTATAGAATTGGTTATGAATCCTTGATCGATCAACACTTCGTCAACGATTAAATCGAGTGATAATCTAATGTTTCAATGTCTATAATTAATTCCGCGTCTTTCGTCGTTTCCCCTCGAGGCACTATAGGCATTTGCATTATTAGAATTTTTTCGTTCATATTACAGAACATTACAAGCAAATCCGTCTCGTTGAACAGACAAATTGTTATTAAGGTGGCACGAGACTGCCGCGATAAAAGTCGCAGTTTATTATACTATTAATTATACCCGCTGCCTTGGGGTTACACCTAACCGTTTACGCAGTTCCTGTTCTGTAGCTTTCAATTTGCAATTATAACGCTCGGATCGCATGCGTCCGCGGAATACGCAATTGGCCGAGCGTGTGCTGAACAGTTTAAAACAGTTTCACGACGTTTTCGCCGCGTTCGGCATTCAAACGGAATATCCTTTTCACGCATCGGGCGGGTGCGTCGTCTCGATTTCTGTTCCTTTTTAATTAGCCCATAAATGTCCGTGTTCCACGTAAACACATGCTGTTTCAGTAAATTATTTATACGATTACAAATAATTGTGACTAATTAACGCGCGGATAAGTTGCTTTTTACAGTGGCATCTTTTATTCACGCGGTTTTATTCGCGTCTCCATGCATGAAATTTATTGAAATTGTTGTGAAAAAGAGAGCTCACCCTTTTACGATAGATTACTGATCGTATAATTACGATCTCTCTTTCAGTTAAGCTCCAATCAAGTTTCCGATACAATATACGTTCGTTTCCTCGAATATTCTCAATCTTCCCCTATTGACTCACAGAAATATTCGAAAAATGAATCTCTGCTATAAATAACAACTTTATTCAACATTTTTCATCGCATGAAAACTAAGATAGAAATGACAAAAAATACTAATTCACAATCTCTAATTCTGTTCTCCAAAAAAATCCAGTCAACATATAATGTTTCGAATATTGTAATTTCTACATCTTCCCCTATTGACTTAAGAAATGTTCGAAAAATGAATCTTTGCTATAAATAACAACTTTATTCAACATTTTTCATCGTATGAAAACTAAGACAGAAATTACACAAAATACTAATTCACAATCTCTAATTCTGTTCTCCAAAAAAATCCAGTCAACATATAATGTTTCGAATATTGTAATTTCTACATCTTCCCCTATTGATTTACAGAAATGTTCGAAAAATGAATCTTTTCTATAAATAACAACTTTATTCAACATTTTTCATCGTATGAAAACTAAGATAGAAATGACAAAAAATACTAATTCACAATCTCTAATTCTGTTCTCCAAAAAAATCCGGTTAACATACGTTTCGAATATTGTAATATCTACATGATCAACTAATTACCAGATGTCATAAAAGAACAGTACCACTTTTCATGCACTGAGTCGCTTTAATAATTCTCCAACACGAAATTTTCCCTGTTAACGTTTCCTTTTAAACGTTTTCTGTTTCCTTCCACAGCATCTAAGGGCGCGAGGCTGTCTCGTTCCCCGCTGTCCGATCCGCTTTGTCTCGCACGCACGGCCGTGGTGCGCAGGCAGCGCGGCAATTAGCGAATTCAGATTCAGAGCCGATAAATTAAAGCCGTTGCGTCCACGCTCGCATGGGTGCGCGCGGAAACCGCGGCGCGGGCCCGCACGGTTCTTCTTCTCCAGAGAGGATTTCGCAAGATCACGCATCCCTAAGAGTCTCTCTTCGTCGTTAGCCACGATGACTCGAATTATAGGCGTCGCAGACGATCGGTAAGCTTTTGATCCATTACATTGATCTCCCATCGCCTTTGAATCGTCGCGTTATTGTTCGAAACTGATTAATCAGTCGCTGTATCCTTTATTCTCCGTTTGAAGAACGAGAAAGTTAGGGGTTCTTCGGTTAACCCTTTCTCTTCGAAAAGAGAAGATTAATCACACGATTAATTACACGAATCATTAGAAATTATTACGAGCGAGAAGTATTCAATCGATCGTGATTTATCATCTAACGATTTGCTTCGATATTTACGGCACAAAGTGAAATTAACAGCAAAGTGTATTCGCTAATTAATCCGGTGATGTATCGCGAATGATAAATTCCAAGTGATAAATTGAATGCTACTTCTACGACAGATCTCAGATTACAGATTCCAAGTGATAAAATTAATATTCGTTCAGTAATCGCGCGGCGGGAACTCTAAATTACCGAACTGGTATTAATTCGCGAATGGATTACCATATCTCATGACGCCCGTACAGGTGGTACATGAACCGAAGCGATTCGTCAACGGCGCGCCATTAAAGCAGTGTTTCTGTTTTCAATTTATCACGTTAGCGCGAGGACCGCTCGTTGAATTTCCAACTGGTAGCCGTCGCGCCGGTGCGGCAGCAGCCGTGGCGGGTATGCAACGCGCGCCGGCGAAAACGATCCTAACATACCCTGAAAGATTCATCGGGGAGGTTCCGTGGCGTTTCCCGGTAAACTTATTGCGACGAAACAGACGTTCGTTAATTTATTGAACCGCCTGGCTGCCGACTGCGTATATGCCCGAGACTCCCTGCGATCGCGTATGCGCCGTGCAACGCTGAGTGGACGCATAAGGCCGGACATAAGCGAAGACAGATGACTTCTGATTCAACCACCGTGTTCGCGGAACGTTTTAATTCCCTGACGAACGACCCTCCCCTTTCTCCGCGCGTCGCGTAGCCGGCGCTCGATGAATGCGGCGAAACAAAGATCAACCCTTAACCCTTTGCGAAGATTCTTCGAAACATACGAAACCTTCAATATATGAAGCTAAATTATATATCAATTGCTCAATTAATAGAAAGAAAGAAAACTACGTGCTGATCTCTTACTCGACTAATTAGATCATTTTTCCACGACTTAGTCTTCCAAATCTGAACATTTCATCTCACAAAGGGTTAACTTTGAACACTTTCGATAACGAATGTTTGCCATTTGAAACCCTTTGACCTACAATGTGTCAGACTCGTGACGAAAATTTTAAGAATTTCAGAAATCTACGTGTTACTTATTTGTTTCAAATATATATCAACCCTTGCATTCCGAGCAATTTTTAATATAACCTTTCAGCAACTCCGAATCAGTTGTCATGGCCACAACAGAGTGCAGAGGGTTAAATATTGCTTTTCCATTATCAATTAACCTTAGGAATAAACGTAGACAGAATAAGCAACAAAATCTTTTCTTTTCCTAATAAATAATTGATGATAAAGTAATTGTATCGACCACAGAAAATAAATCATAGGGCAAGGGGTTAATAAAACAATTTTTGCCATCTTTAGAATTCATTTTTAATCCAGTCGCATCGTGTGATGGAATGAAGAGTACTTTATCAGATTCCTCTTTTCATTGTGTTTGAATGATTAATGATTAGAAGTACTTAGCTTGTAGTATGAAATTGTAGTAATAATAATATAATAATGTAGTATTGACTGCATTTTCAAAGTTTTACAGCTTTCTATTTAATTTTCAATGGTTTGAAATATAGAAAACCTTCAGCAGACGAAGTTAAATTATATATCGATTGCTTAAATACTGAAAAGAAAAGAAATTATACACTGATCTCTTGCTGTTTGAGTAACTGAATCGTTTATTTTCGAGTTACTCTTCCAAATATGGAAATTCGATCTCGCCGAAATGTCGACACGAAGGATTAAGGGATGAATTCTTACCAAAGATGAAACATTACTTATTATAAATACTATAATATAATATCATCCCTTCATTAATCAAATTCTCCATTTTCTCGCACCCTCGAAGACAACTGGACAACCTGAGGATATTCCAAATTTCAAATACATTATTCATACACAAAATCAAGTACCACCTTCGTTTACTCACTCAAAAACACTAAGAGAAAATAACATAATATACCCCGTGGGCAAATAATTTAATGCCCAGTGGCACGATCAAAGATTTCTACGTGGCTCGTTCCCAGAAAAATTCCTCGGCGAGGAATCATCGCGCGATCGGCCACAAAGTTAATGAAAACGAGCGTTAGGTCTCTTTTTCTTCTTTCCCCGGAATATTTTCTTCCCGGAACCCCCGTGGAAGGCGGCGTGCGTGTGTGCGCGCCCGCGCGCGCGTGCGCCGCTTTCGTAAACACATAAATAAGCGCGCGTGTCCGCCGGTTATTAATAAATTTCACGGGTCCCGGCGTTTATTTTCGACACCACAAATCCTCGCGGGGACGCGGTTCATTAAAAAGCCCTCGACCGCTAAAACCGGGTTTAATTGATACCTAACGAGCTGCTACCTTGATAGATGGACTGGACGATCGAGGTGTTGACCCTCTTTTTTGCTGCCCTCTAAAGTGGAAACTTGTGGTCCACCGCTGGCCGATCAGAGGTTATCCAATTTCGAAGGACAGTTTCCATTTGCGTGAACTGCATTGGAATTCCATTAGAACTTTAACCCTTTGCACTCGAAAGTTTTTCGCTTGAAGTATTCTATACTTTCTAATCAGTTGTAGACAAGATTCTTTAAAACGAATTTAACGAGAAATCATACATAAATTAGGTAAGCTATTTTCTTTCAATATTTCACGTATTGGTGCAGTATACAAAGGTTAATGGTAAATACCAAAGTTTATAATTTTGCTGTAGCATACAAAGGTTAACGGTAAATATCGAAGTTTATAATTTTGCTGTATCAAATCATCTGGCGACTGGGAGTCGCTTCTAGAGTGCAAAGGGTTAATTTTATTTCTTAGTAACTGAACGAATGTTTGATTAGGAATAATCGAAGTTTTCGATATTTACGATGCAGCAATCGTGATAAGGTAAGATTGGAAAATCGAGAAAATTTGATCAATATCTTTATTAATAGATTCATCTTCTATTTGGTATGTATTCACTTTTCAACTAATATATTAATCATTGCATCAAGGTTTACCAACGTACATCATTAAATTCAATTTGACATCTCATCACAGCTATCACTAATTAAAAGCATCAAACGCATCCGCTTCCGGTGGACACTTCACAGATATTTAAATTACATGTCACGAGATGTTCGAAACTTCAATGTCGTCGTAACAGAGTAATTACAAAGGAAGGGAACCGCGAGCGATCCAAACAAACATTAAGATCCATAGAATCCATCGGAACGGCCCTGTGATACCATTATAAGTTCATCAGAACGCCGGAACCGGTTCCGTGTTCTTCCGGAACACGGAGCACGTACCAGATGTCTAATAACGTAGAAGTTAATAACGTAAACGATCAAATTGCACGTCGCGTTTGACGGTTTTTCTACCGCGGGGCCAATTAGACGCGAGTCGCTCTCTTCCCCGATCCGCCGGCGTTCCTTTCTTCATTTTCTCGAAATTCTTTCGTCGCGGAATAATTAACTCCGCGGGTAATGGCAGCGATAAATCTACCCCGCGGATCGCTCGATTATACCGCGGTCGAGATTATGGAGATCCCGACAAAGTTGGAAGCACGCGGCCGCGAGTTTGATCGATATTGATCGATATCGCCGATCGATAACGCGATGGGAATTGATCGAGGCCGATTGACACGGTTTCCTTATCGTGCAGTGATTGATCGATTATGTGTCCCCTTTTTCCTTTATTTTAATAATGGTGATATATAGGTGAAATTGGAATTGTTCGTTGCTTATTGCTGGCCTTTATGGTTCGTATTTTTATGTGGTCCGCAGTGTAATTTGCAGTTTACTGTTCCTTTGGTTTTGTGTACGGTGTATGATGATTTGTAACGTTGCTTGGTAGAGAATATGTTATTACAATTTATAATGTGTTTAATGTATACTATAGGGGGCGTATTTTCATAGCGGAGATTTATGCAGATTTTTAATCTCGAAGGTATGTAAATTTAAGGAGATCTCAATGGAGCTAAATTCTGGTGTATTTGAATCGTGAATGATTTCGGTTAATTGGAGAGGAAATGAAATTATGGTAATGGTCATCGAGGCTTTCGTTTTATGATTTTTCTATGCAACGAATGCATAAAACAGCAGGAGTAGCGGTATTCTCTTGATTCTTGATTTCTATGCAGATTATTCAAATGATATTCAAATATTTGAGTTCTTGTTGCTATACATTGGCAGACGTGTACGTTACCGACGCTTATTTGAATTTATTTCTCTGAATTATTGAGATAACCTGATGCATATGAGTGTTTCTTGTTAAAGTGATTAACCACCTAATCAATGTCTTCATTCATAGTCACTATATCCGCGTGTATGCTGAAGATTTTAACACGCTCGTTGCCATGTCGCCATTTTGCTTGGCAACGGAGAGCCGCGAACCTCGCCAGATTTTCAACACTCTATTCAGTGCAAAGTATTTCCTTATTTAACGCCTATAACGCTCGCGAGCTTTCCGACTTTTTATTCTCGATTTCTTGGACGGTTACTGAACTGTACAGAATACCAATGGAAAGCTACTAGATTCGCCTTTCAAAGTTATCACTGTCGAAAACACATAAAGTGATCGATTTTTTAAACCCCTTTATTTTTCATATCTCCAAACTACAAAGTTATCAGCTTTAGAGTCAAATTCCCCCAAGTATTAGTTAATATTATATTAGACATTACAAATACTTAACACTATGTTTACGTTTATTGTCCGG